AAAAAGTGTCCATTTTTCTTGTGATATATGAATTATTAATATAAAATTTTAACGGTATTAAATAAACTTTACAAGCCATTGACAGTCATTCAAGATTACAGAATTGTATGCAACACATCCCTAAGGCTAATCTATTTCTTGTCTGTCGAAGGTATTATACTTGTTTAATTGTTTAAACTATAGTGTCGGCACTAGATGCAAAGATAAAGGTTAAATATGTTTAATGCATGATAYTGCTTTTGCAACATTTSATYTATTCATTTAGTTTAAATTGATRCGAAGACCAAAATTATTTGAAACTGAAAATTATTTAAAACTAATTATTGAAGTAACGAGTGTGTATTGTAACAATCCACTTGAAATATAATCTTCTTCAACCCACCATTCATTAAAAAAAAGAAGGCAAAATAAGATTTCAATTAGATGAATACGACGTCATATCTATACCCCTATTGTTCTTTGAGATTTTAAACAAAAGATAAATTTTTGTCTGGTAAATGATCACATAATTTGCTTTTRCTGAAAAAGTTTAGTTAAATTTACATCTACTGAATCAGAATATATATATATATATATCTTCGCATTTCATCCTCTATTGTTTCTAAATTTCTATTGTTTTCTATTGTCCTATGGTGGCACTTCAAGATAAAAAAAGAAAAATAAAACATTATGAAGCAAACAAAGTTTAATAAAATTATAATAAGATTATTTCAACGATTTTTTTTTAATTTACTACAAATTTTTGATTCAGAGCTAAAAGAGCTCACAACCTAAAAACTGTATTAATTGAAATGAAAAGCGCCTTTTCAAAGAGGCAGGACAACAAAGTCAACTATACCAAAACAATGTTAGAATTTCTTTGTGCTCAGGCATTTGTTTATCAATAATTATCGTGCCATCTTCTGCGAAAATAAGGCTTTTATCACAAACAGAGACTTCGGCCGGCTAAGCCGCCATTTTTAAGGTCAGGCCGAAAGTTCGGTTTGTAATCTTTATTTATATGCTGAAGCAGTTTAATTTGATCATTTATTCCAGTTGTTTTACATGTCTTTGACAATACATGTMTATCTCTTTGTACAGACCTCTGACAAAATAATTTTTATTCTTATGTAGAATTATTTTTCAACATGAAGAAGTTTCTGGTAATCGCTCTGATTGTAATGTTGGCTGTGGCTTTGTGAGTATTTCATTCATATTCTTACAATCTTATTGATGTAACTTGTTTGTGCAACCTAGACAATACATTGAAAAAAACATCTTTTTTTTCTTGTTTTGGTGGTCCTTTGTGAAAATCACCACAGGCCGAAAATGTTGTAGTCTACGGCGAGGCTACTGCTACTTGTGATTTACATCTGAGCTTCAGATAAATCCCCCCGCCGTCCTAAATAAGTCCCCTATTCTTATCGTTTTCAATATAAGTCACAGCGGCCATCTTGGATGATCTTCAACAAAGCATTTCTTAGTACATTTTAATTACTATCGGCCTCTCAAACAAAATATATTATAATGCTCTGTCCCCTCTGAATTTATTTATTTATAATTCGTGTTTAAAGAGTTGTCCCAAATCGTGGCACGCTTTTCTTGAGAAGTTTTCCAAAAAAAAAGAAGTTTGGCCAAAAATCTGACACCGTTGAGTTTTCAGTTTCCAATAAAGTTCTAGTTAATTTTAGATTTTGACACCACTCTTTAAACACATACACAAAAAAGATTTTCCCCCAAACTTCTGGATTGTCAACCCCTCTCCTCCCGATGATCATTGCGCAGCCCTAAAAACTCTACTACCAACTTTATTTAAAATTTCATTTTAAATCTTGGTCATCAGTGTCGCTCCAAGTGAACACAAATTGCAAACGGAAGAAAAGAATGAAGAGGATGCTGCTGAGTGTAAAACCAACGCTGACTGTAAAGGAAAACGCGGAAACACATGTATAAAGTGAGTTATATATTTATACAGTCGCAATCGACTTGATTTTGAGTGATTTGAGGGGGCTATACTACTATTAAGTTTAAGAAAAAAATGTCTGGATGAATTAACAACTAGCCTTTAAACTAATATACATAAAAAGCTGATTAACAAAATCAAAATAATAAAAAATGAWTTTTATTTATATTGCTGACTTGAATGCTAATCGCGCTTGTTGATGTTTCCTGCAGAAAAGCAGTAGAATTGGCGGGTTTCAAATCGAGTGGGGACTGGGCAAAACGCCCTAATTAGATAATGATAAGATAAGACTTACATGACAGACCTTATTGAGAAATATGCAAGATGCAAAATTTGGTGYAAATCAGTTCAATAGTGAAAATTACCAAAGAAATGTATGGGTATATTTGGTATTTGCCTTTTTKTAAATTTCGTCAAGAGACCAAAAGAATATTGTTGAATTTATATTTGCTGTTGTTATTATTGTTTAAAACCGATGATAAGAAACTATGTACTATATACTATATACTGTTTGCGTTGATATATAAGAAAATTCAGTTTTATTGTCTAGTAATATCGAAGATAAACAATAGAAAAAAATGTTTATAAGATACTGTTTCTTTTTTCTTTCAGCGGAAAATGTGTTTTCCCATTGGGCAAGTGAGAGTAAAAATGCATTATCGTAAGCCAATGGGTCAGAAATTACGAATTGTACTTGCAATGTTGCATGAACGTTGATTAAAATTGTGCATGTATACTCATCATGCGTCAAAATAATGCTGTTAACTTGATATACTGTCGTGTTTATGATACCCATACTCATGTTAAGAAACATATTGYCTGAATGAACTGTTGCTCACCCACTGCTGTATTTGTATTAAGGAAAAAGTTTTATCATATAATTATCTATGAAATGCCTACAAGTTTCTTAATTTCCTAAAGTTGATATTTTCACTAGTGAAAATARCACATTYGAGGTTTCTCTTATATAGAAGTAAGAAAAGAGCTATTTTACGACATAATTTGCTTTCATATACAATTATATGATAAAYAGAATRTTACATGGTCGCTTGGTGATACGCTCACTCGTGAGAGATCTAGCTTTTCAACGSTCGAAGATAAAATCCGTATCTCCCCGCGCCCATGTAATATCCTCTATATATTACATTTTTTAAATTGATCAAGACGCCTTATTTCCGTACGCAATGAATATAATGCAAGTCTCCGAAACAATGACCCTACCGACATTTAACAAGGTAATGGGAGCTGGATCAGAAGACACTACAGTCAACTCTCGCTATTACGGACACCCTCGGGGCCGACATTTTGTGTCCGCAGACGCGACAGTCTGTAGTAACAAGAGTTACTTTCAGTAAGACACTACAGACGACACTACAGAAGACACTAAAATCAACTCTTGCTATTACGGACACCCTCGCACCCTCGGGACCAAAATTTTGTGTCCGCAGTAGAGAGAGTCCAAAGTAACAAGAGTTACTTTCAGTCATTTATATTTTTCGCACTCATTTTTCGCCTGGGATTCAGTATTTTACCGTCCGCAATATCGAGATGTCCGTTGTAGCGGGCTGTGTCCGTAAAAGGATAGTTGACTGTACCGAAAATGTTTTACCCTATCAAGGAAGTCTCATTTTCTTGTGTCTAGGAAAGGGGGRGTTCCRAATTCCCTGGAACGGTTTCATGCGCACACCCTTGTTCCCTTTCAACATGTTATAGCTCACGGAAGAATCTCTTTTAAACTAAGCTGCGGCACTCCTTCCTTTTTATACTTTTAATATGTTTGAGAATTTTGCACTCTTCGTGAGCACATGATTTCATGAGATTTAAWATCCAAYWTGTCCTTCACTTTCAGGACAATCTATCACTCACCGAGCGTATTGTATGTACTTATGATTAATTATTCACTCAGTTGCTTATGATCGATCCAGGTTCTTGCTTGAATTTAGTTTTGCTAGGAGACGTTAACAGACATTTAGTCAAGAAATGTTATAGTTTCAGTTTAATCACGTACAGCAAATAGTAAACTTCCCGATTCCTGGAAGTCGGCACACTTAACAAAGTAACAATTAACAATTAACAAACTTTGTCATCCTAAGGAATGTATTTTCTAGCCAAACATGCAATTAAAGAACAGTACAGATCCATTCTTCAAGTTTATTGATAAACCATGCATTGGAATCATCATTTTTATTTACTTTCGAAGCCCCATATACAAGAACCAAACTGCTGCAACCGATTCCAAGTTCTAAAAAAAAGACATTAACAATTGTAACTGAAATACAACCAGTGAAGGCAAATAGGGGGTTTGCTTACCAACCAACCAACAACCCATCATTTTTTCAAACCGAGACCATCCATGTATTCCCAGAAGACTCMCAGACGTTTTTGGACTATAGTAATAAAAACATTTTTTTCGCGACTTCATTTGCTCAGTCCGGAATAGTTCCAAATCACGAAACCTTCTATCAACGGCGTGACGTCATCGTTTTGCGTTTACCGATTCCCCTTGGATGAATTGAATTTGTTCTAATATAAAAATTAGGTAACACCTAATAGCGGAGCTCCAATAGCAATATAGAAGCTGAAAATGATTATCGAGTACTGCTATTTCAAAGGTAGATGCTCTGTTCTAAGGAATGTGAGCTACAACAGTTATGTTGACATGCGAACAAATATTATAAAGAGTATGTTTATGAGAATTTAGTTCGTACTAATATTGACTTCGGTAGATTTTGTTCCGTTGGATGAAGTTTAAAATTATAATCTATAAAGGTCAATTGATTAAAAGTAAACTGAAAGCTTCTCGGCAAAAAGTAGTCTACATAAGCTTACAATAATGAACATTCTTTTAATAATCGATGTTAGAACCYGGACTACTCGAACAGAAAAATCACAGAAAACT